CCAAGCCTGGCCCCCTAAGGAGCGGGCGGCCCTTCAAGAGGAGCTCAGTGATGTCCTCATCTACCTGGTAGCATTAGCGGCCCGCTGCCGTGTGGATCTTCCCCAAGCAGTGCTCTCCAAGATGGACACCAACCGGAGACGCTACCCAGCACATCTGTCCCGCGGCTCTTCTCGCAAGTATACAGACCTGCCCCACGGGGCCACCTCTGGAGACCAGACTGTGGGGACTGCAGACCTTGCCTGTGAGTCCACAGGTCAGGCCTCAACCTAGAAACATGGAATCAAGATCTGCAGCTCAGCATGGCATGTGAGGAAGACAGTGGCCTGCCCAGGGAACCTCATTCTAGTCCTTTCCTAACAGATCACAGACCTAGGGACACGTCCTGAGGTCTGCGGTTCAAGAACCTCTGGAAGACAGCCTCTTGGTACTCTTCTCCCTCAATAAAAGTTTTGTTTAACCGCCTCCAGACTCTTCCTGCGGTGGCTGGGGAGGCTCCGTCTCAGCAGGTGCTGAAGAGGGGCACCAGGGTTGCCTCTGAGCCCAACTCCCACGTTTCTCTATTGTAGCTCCCACCTGCAGGGCAGAGATCTGACTTCTAGCAGGTTGCCTGTGAGATTCCAGCCAGTCTCCTTCCCCTTCGGGGCCTCTGACAGATAGGAGGCTGTGCGTAGCTTTAAGAGCCTAGGTTTTTGAGCCAGGCCATCAGGGATCAAATGCCATCTTTCATACTTAGCTGATGGTATTCATTGATTTCCTCATCTAAATGAAAATAAAGTGCCTACCTGATAGGGTTTTAAAACTTAGGTGAGCCCAGCTGGCGTGGCTCAGTGGTTGAGCGTTGGCTTACGCACCTGGAGGTTACAGTTCAATTCCTAGCCAGGGCAGATGCCCGGGTTGCGGGTTTGATCCCCAGTAGGGGCTGTGCAGGAGGCAGTTGATCAATGATTCTCTCTCATTGATGTTTCTATCTCTTTGAAATCAATAAAAATGTAAAAACAAACTTAGGTGGGTTATTACTGTCAGTAGAGTGCTTAGGACAGTGCCTGGCACATAGGACTTTGTAAGTTTCCAGTTATTAACTTTCAACTTAAAACTTTCAGATGTCCAGAGCAGGAAATGTCAACACTTGAGTTAGGCCTGAGTCCAGGGCTGAACCTCAGGGCCCAGCACAAACTAGGATCAGATCTCTGATGTGGAGCAGAACAGGGCTTCCACTCCTCTTGGAGTTGGGCCTCTTGCCCCTGCACTGCCATCTCCAGGCCAATTTCTCATTCCACTTCTATCCCTAAAAATGGTGTTAGGTGTGTGATGTACCTGTTGTGTGACCTCAGACACATCACTTTCTTTTCTGAGATGCCCATGGCCTGGGGTGATGCTGGAAAAAAGACCTTCAAATTACTTTTGCTGCCCTTGTCAACCTGTTTCCACATCAGTAAAATGAGGGTTCCCCTTTACTGGCCTCATTCCTCTCGGTGACCTTATCCCTCTTACTTCCCAGGTAAAACTCCAGATTGGAACTGCTTCAGCTTTGTGTTCGCAAGCCCACCCTGCTCCCTACCAATAATAGTAGGAGCCTTATCCTTACTGGTTTGATTTCAGTATCTCTCCTTGATCAATTATCTCCTCTCTGTATAATCAACTTCTCTTCCTTTCCATTACCCCTCACCGAAGCACAAAAATTGAGTCTCCTCCCTATAGACAAAACCAACAAACTTCCCAGCTACTGCCCTCATACTTTTCACAGCCACGCCTCTTGAGAAGGGTTGTTATACCCACCCATCTGCTGCTTCATCCTCCCACTTATATCCTAACCCACTATCACTCCACTGAAATGGCTCACCACTTCCCCCAACTCCTACAACCAGTGGGCACCAGAGCAAAACCTGACCACTTCCTCTGAACACTTCTCTAGATTTCCCAAACGAGGCATTTCTGAGTTTGTCTATCTCTGGCTGTTCTTTCCCAGGTACTTCTTGGGTACCCTTTTCTGGGTGAGGGGTCATGCACTTCAGACCCGATATCCCAAGGTGTTCTTTTCAATCGCCTCTCTGACCCCTCCACATTGACCTCACATTCCACATGTCCAGATTGGGGGTAACAATTGCTGCCACTTCAACTGTTCTCATCCTGTACCATCTGTGACTCTACCTGTGGTCATCCAAGCTAAGAAGTGAAGTCAGCCCCACCTCCCTTATCCCCAGAATTCTAGCTCCTTAATATGTCCACTCCACCCCTTCCCTTATCACTCAAGGCTTCTTTGCTGCCTTGGATACTGTCACCTGACTTCTAAAATCCCCAGTGGTCTATCTCCTGCCAACCTCGTTGCTCTTTGTCCCTATCTTCAAGCTCTAACAAGTCTGGCAGGCACTTTCAGGGACTCTCCCTAGTTCCCAAACTCTCTTTTAGCCTTCAAGGCCAGCTTAAACATACCTCCAAGGACAACCTCTCTAAACTCCCAAGATTGCGTTAAAAACCTAACCAACAACTCCCCCCATCATAGCAAATGACAATGGACTGCAAATGCCTGTATACGTGTCCCAGTTCTGCCATTCCCTCACTGTCAGTACTTACTTATCTGCAGAAATGGAGATATGATTACCAAACGTGGATGCTGAGGATGAAAATGAGCTGACAATAATAAAGCACTTAAGTCTTAAACATAGTGCCATAGAGTAGTTTAGCAGGCCTGGCTCAGTGGTTGAGCGGCAAACAATGAACCAGATCATGGGCTTGATTCCCAGTCAGGGCACATGCCCGGGTTCCAGGCTCGATCCCCAGTATGGGTATGCAGGAAACAGCTGATCAACGATTCTCTTATCATTGATGTTTCTATATTTCTCTCCTTTTCCTCTCTGAAATCAGTAAAAATATATTTTTAAAAAGTATTGTCTCTTCATTATACTACGCTCCATGATGTTCATGGCTGCTCACCAAAGCTCTGCGGAATTTGGTGCCTGTTTAAGCACGAATCAATCTATATATATAAAAGCCTAAGCGACCATTGCAACCGAATGACGACAGATAGGCTGTGTGGGGCGACCAGACTGGCAGCAGGGTTAGTGAGGGACGACCAAAGACTGAGCAGCAGGCTATGTGGGCGACAGCAGCAGAGGGTCAGTGAGGGCGACAAACGACAAACAGCAGCTGCATGGGGAGACCAGGCAGGCAGGGGGGTCAGTGAGGGGCAACCAAATGACTGAGCAGCATGCTGCATGGGGTGAACAGGCTGGCAGGGGGGTTAGTGAGGGGAGACCAAACGACCAAACAGCAGGCTGCATGGGGCAACCAGGCCCGCAGTGGGGGCAGCTGGGGGTGACCAGGATGGCATGGGGGGGCAGAGTAAGGAGTGACCAGGATGGCTAGGGGGGCAGTTGGGGGTGACCAGGCTGGTGGGGGGCAGTTGGGGGGTGACCAGGCCAGCAGGGGGTGCAGTTTAGGGTGATCAGGCAGGCAGGCAGGTGAGCAGTTAGGAGCCAGTGGTCCCGGATTGTGAGAGGAATGTCCCAGATTAGAGAGGGTGCAGGCTGGGCTGAGGGGACCCCCCCCATGCACAAATTTTGTGCAGCAGGCCTCTAGTCTAATAATAGGGTAATATGCAAATTGGTTGGGATGCCGATCAGTGGGCTACATATGCAGCAGGCATGGGTGGGCGGGGCATTGCAGCAACAGGGGTGGGGACTTGCAGCGTACGGGACCCAATGGCTGCTGCTGCTTGCCCAGGGCCGGCCCAGGGCTCCGGCAAGCCGCCCATAGCCACTGCTGTCTCGAGGGCCCGAGGCTCAGGCAAGCCTCATGGCAGGCAGTGGCAGCAGCAGAGGTGTGATGGGGGCGTCGCCTTCCCCTGATCACAGGGTTGCCTCCCACAGAGGGAGGCCAGAGGCAGCAGCAGCAGCGAGGGGGTGATGGGGGTGGTGCCTTCCCCTGATCGGCTGGTCACCTCCTGTAGAGGGAGGCCCGACTGCGTCTTGAGCCATCAGTAGGACATCCCCTGAGGGCTCCCAGAGTGTGATAAGGGGCAGGCCGGGCTGAGGGAACTCCCCCCACCCCCCAGTGCACGAATTTTGTGCACCGGGCCTCTAGTGTGCTATATTTACAGACCCTTCCAGATCAAAGGTTATAAGGACATAACCAAGGGCCAAATGTGGGATGACTTCACACACACAAACCCAGTTCCAGGAACCCTTTTGGGCTAATAGTCCCACTTGGTTCTGTGATGATTCACTTAAGTCACCTAAGCCCAGGGAATACCCCAACTTTGCTCCTTTCCCCATCTATTCATTCACAGGCACATGTGCGTGAAGATATAATACTTTATTCACTAACACGGGTTGAGGATTTGTAGTGAGGGGGAAGAGGCCATGGTTTCCAAAAATCCCAGTAGAGCAGTGATGGCAAACCTTTTGAGCTCGGCATGTCAGCATTTTGAAAAACCCTAACTTAACTCTAGTGCCGTGTCACATATATAAATTTTTTGATCTTTGCAACCATAGTAAAACAAAGACTTATACAGTGGGGCCTTGACTTACAAGTTTAATTTGTTCCGTGACGGAGCTTATAACTCAAATTACTCATATGTCAAATCACTGTGACGTTTGCTGCGCCAACTAGCGGTGGGGTATCTGAAGCTGGCTCGTAACCCAAATTTTTTTGAGCTTGCAATTCAAAGCAAAAAATCGGCCGAGAGACGGCTCGTATCTCAAAAAAACTCGTTAGTCAGGACACTCGTAAGTCAAGGCCCCACTGTATTTTTGATATTTATTTTATATATTTAAATGCCATTTAACAAAGAAAAATCAACCAAAAAAATGAGTTCACGTGTCACCTCTGACACGCGTGTCATAGGTTCGCCATCACTGCAGTAAAGGATTAACTATGTCTCCAAGGTCCCGGGCGGCCAGTTCTGCCTTCCCACCCTTTCCCAGACCAGGGTCCCGGAGTCCTTGTCCAGTTAGTCCAACCCCTGGGGGTCGGGGCCCTGGCATGCGTCTCCTCAGCCAGACACTAGCAGCCACAGCGACAAGGGGGCTCATCTACTCTCACACTCTGGGCAGCGCTCAGTGACAGTGGTGGCCTTAGTGCCAGGGGGTAGCTTGAAGTCTCGGCCGCACACAGCGCAGATATAGAGACGGCGCATCATATGCGAACGACGGTGGCGGACGAAGTTGGAGCTGAGGCGGAAGCGCTGGCCGCACTCGGTGCAGGGGTAGGGCCGCTCGCCCGTGTGCGTGCGGGTATGATCTGCCAGGTTGGACCGGTGGCGGAAACAGCGGCCACACACGGTACAGAGGTGTGGCTTCTCGCCCGTGTGCACTCGCCGGTGCTTGGCCAGCGCCGAGCTCTGCGCGAAGCGCGTGCCGCAGTCGGCGCAAACATATGGCCGCTCCCCGGTGTGCGTGCGTCGGTGGCGCACAAGGCACGAACTGCCGCCGAAGGCGCGCCCGCAGTCGGGGCAAGTGTAAGGCTTCTCGCCCGTGTGCACGCGCAGGTGCTGCGCGTAGTTGGAGCTCTGAGCGAAGCGGCGCCCGCACTGCGTGCACACGTAGGGCTTCTCGCCCGTGTGGCGCCGCCGGTGTTGCTGCAGGTTCGAGGCGGCCGAAAAGCGCTGGCCGCACTCGGGGCACTCATAGGGCCGCTCGCCGGTGTGCGTGCGGCCGTGTTTGGTCAGCGCCGACTTCTGCGAGAAGCCCCGGCCACACTCGGGGCATTCGAAGGGCCGTTCACCCGTGTGCGTGCGTGAATGCTTGGCTAGAGTGGACCGGCGCGCAAAAGCACGGCCGCAGTCCGGGCACACGTGTGTACGCGCCGGGTCTGCAGAAGGCGCTGCCGCCTTGCTCGGGACCTGTGGGGAGAAAGGGGACAAGTCAGCCCTGATCCACAGTCCCGTGAGCAAGAGACCTGGGTCTCTGCAAACTGTAATCTCAGATCCGCTTATGGAAAACAGGAAAGCCTCCCTCATAGCACTGCTGCGCACATTAAATTAGATACTGTATTAATGTACATACACATGCCCAGTGTCATTCTACCTGTTCTTTAATAATTCAACAAGTATTTATTAAGGGCGTACAAGGTGCCAGACTGTGTTCTAGGCACTGGGGATTCAGTATTATATTTTTTAAATTCCTGCTTATGGGAAAAATGGACAAGTGCTGGTATTGGGTGAATGTTTCAGATTTAAATACGGTTAAAAAACTGATGTAACAAGAGCAAAAACTAAAGGAAGTGAGAAAGCAGGCTACAGAAGGCACAGCAAGACCCCGAGGCAGGGGTTTTGCCAGTGAAGACCCAGGAATGGCAAGAAAAAGTACATAGGGCAGAATGCATGGAGGGGAGAGTAATGGATGGGGTGCCCTGCAGGCAATCTCTTAGCTTAGAGCCTTGTAATATGAAAGGCATGGAAGGTGATGTCAGAGGAATGATGGCGTAAGGCTGTGTCTTTTTCTCTCCTGAAATTTCAAAAAGTTAACCATGTATAATTCAACAAAGAAATCCCTGCTCAACACAGATGCATGCCTGAGAGACCTGCGCACTGAAACATCTAAAGGTGGGCAACCAGGAATAAACGGGGAGACAAGAGCGGAAAGCGCAGATGGCCCCCAGGTGCAGCCCTGTAGCCGGCAGCTCATAGCAAGTGGCAAGCAGTGAGAGAGTGAACAGTGTCTGCGTCAGCAGATGCCTGACAGAGCACAGGATTCTGCCGTGTGCATGTGGCTCGGAGACAGGCAGTGGTGTTTCAGACAAAGAAATGTATCACAGAGCCCTGCCACTGCTTGGACTCCCAAAACTTGCCTCCTGTTGCCCTTGAAGTCAAGTTCAGTAGCGTATTATCTGTAAACCAAAAGCTACTGCAGTAGAATACGTTTCCCTCTGTGACTGATCCCCAGGAGGGGTGCTGGGGCGGGACCCACGGAAGTTGAGACACAAACCCTACCCCAAGCAGCACAGTTATACAGTCTTAGGGAAGCCACGGAGGTTCAAGACTAGGAGTTCAGAGGTAAAAATCTTGTGATTCAGCACCATCTACTGGAAAATAGTAGAAAAACTTCTTCAGAGATAAATGCATAAGCAAAGGAAGACAGCAAATACCATGAAGAACCACAGTGATGACGATGACCAGAAAGAAAATGAAAAATCCCCAGAAAGCAGGCTGGAACACATGGAAATATGTGATATAAATGACAGAGATTTCACCCTAGCTGGTTTGGCTCAGTGGATAGAGTGTTGGCCCACAGACTGAAGGGTCCTGGGTTCAATTTCAGTAAAGGGCACACACCTCGGTTGCATGCTCGATCCCCAGCCCCAGTCGGGGTGTATATGGAAGGCAACCAATCGATGTGTCTCTCACATCGATGTTTCCCTCTTTCTGTCTCTCCCCCTTCTTTCTACTCTCTCTAAACATCAATGGAAAAATTTTAAAGTTTTTAAAAATAATAAATGACAGAGATTTCAAGATTGCAGTCCTGAAAATACTCAATGAGATGCAAGAAAATACTGACAGGCAATTCAGTGCACTTAGAAAACAAATCAATGAACAAAACGAGTACTTTACCAAGGAGATTAAAAAAAGAACCAATAAGAAGTCCTGGAAGTGAAGTATGCAATTAAGGAGATTAAGAGTAAACTACTGAGCATAGGAAACAGAACAAATGAGATAGAGGAAAGAACTAGTGATATTAAAGATAGGAATCAAGAAATGGTGCAGAGGGAAGAGAAAGACCTGAGAATAAAAAAAAAATAAAAGAGCTCTATGAGACCTATCTGATTCCATCAGAAAAAGCAATATTAGAATTACAGGCATTGCAGAGGAGGAAGAGAGGAAGCATGGAATGAAGAGTCTATTAAAACAAATAGTGGATGCGAACTTTCCAAATGGCTCAATGGATAGAGTGTCGGCCTGTGGACTGAAGGGTCCTGGGTTCGATTCCGGCCAAGGGCACATGCCTGGGTTGCAGGCTCGATCCCCAGTGGGGGGTGTGCAGGAGGCAGCCGATCAATGATTTTCTCTCATCAATGATGTTTCTATCTCTCCTTCTCCCTTCCTCTCTGAAATCAATAAAGAAATATATTAAAAAAAAAAAAAAAAAAAGAACTAGATCCTCGATTCCAACAAGCAAACAGAACACCCGGTTACCTCAATCCAAAGAGGCCTTCTTCAAGGGCCTGTCACAATTAATGACAAAGAAAAAAGTTCTCAAAGCAGCCAGGAAAAGAAGGAAGTAACCTATAAAGGAAAACCCATCAGAATCATCCGAACTCTCAGCAGAAACTCTACAAGCCAGAAGAGAGTGGAAGCAAATAGTCAAACTCCTGAAAGAGAGAAATTACCAGCCACAAATAATATATCCAGCAAAATTATCCTTTAAATATTAAGGAGAAATAAAGATGTTCCCAGACATACAGAAGCTGAGGGATTTCATCACCAGAAAACCTCCACTGCAGGAAATACTCAATAGAGTTATTCTACCTGAAACAAAGAACATAAGGCCATAACACTACGAGTAAGTTCAACAATAAACTTACAGCATAAATAGGGATAATTTGTGACAACAAAAACATAAAAGGGGAGGGGGAAAGGTCTGAACTGGAAAAGGATAATGAAGATCAAATGCACTCAAAAGGGAAAAAACTGCCCAGCTGGCGTGGCTCAGTGGTTGAGTGTGGACCTATGAACCAGGAGGGGTCAGTTCGATTCCTGGTCAGGGCACCTGCCTGGGTTGTGGGCTCGATCCCCAGTATGGGGTATGCAGGAGGCAGCCAATCAATGATTCTCATCATTGATGTTTCTACCTTTCTCTTCTTCTCCCTTCCTTTCTGAAATCAATAAAAATATTTTTTTTAAAGAAAACATAACACTTCTTAATATATACCCACCCAACCAGGGAGCACCGAAATATATAAAACTACTCACAGAACTAAAGGGAGAAATAGACCAAAACACAATCATAGTTGGAGATTTTATACTCCATTGACAGCTCTAGACAGATCAACCAAATAGAAAATCAATAAAGAAATATTGGCCTTAAATGAAACACTAGACCAAATGGACATAATTAACATTTACAGAACCTTTCATCACAGAGCATCAGATTATACATTCTCCAGAGCACAGCATTCTCAAAGATTAACCATATATTGGGTCACAAAACTAGCATCAACAAATTCAAGAAGACTGAAAGTTTACCAAGCATGTTCTCTGACCACAATGCCTTGAAATTAGAAATCAAATGCAAAAATGAAGTAAAGAAACCCACAAATACATGCAGATTAAACAACATACTACTAAAAAATGATTGGGTTAAAGAAATAAAAGTTAAGATTAAAAGATATAGAGAATCTAGCTGGTTTGGCTCAGTGGATAGAGTGTTGGCCTGCAGACCGGAGAGTCCCGGATTCGATTCCGGTAGAGGAAGGGCATGTACCTCGGCTGCAGGCTCCTCCCCAGACCAAGCCCTGGTCAGGGGCTCATGCAGGAGACAACCAATTGATGTGTTCCTCTCACATTGATATTTCTGTCTTTCCATCTCTTTCACTCTTCCACTCTCTCTAAAAATCAATGGAAAAATATCCCTGTTGAAGATTAAAACAAAAACAAAACAAACAAAAAAACTCCCAAAAAACAAAAGTCCAGGACCAGATGGCTTCACCAGTGAATTCTACCGGACATTCAAAGAAGATTTAAAACCATCCTTCTCAAAACCTGGGAAAGATAACACAAAAAAAGAAAACTACAGACCAATATCTCTGATGAATACAGATGCAAAAATTCTACACAAAATACTAGCAATTTGAATACAACAGTACATCCAAAAAATAATACATCACGATCAAGTGGGGTTCATTCCAGGGGCACAAGAATGGCTCAACGTACGCAATCAACATAATACACCACATCAACAAAAGAAGGATCAAAACCATGTGATTGTACCAACAGATGCAGAAAAAGCATTTGTTAAGATACAACATCCATTTATGATTAAAACACTCAATAATAATAGGAATAGAAGGGAAGTATCTCAACAAAATAAAGGCCATATATGCCTAGCCGGCAAGGCTCAGTGTTTGAGCATCAACCTATGAACCAGGAGGTCACAGTTCAATTCCTGGTCAGGGCACTTGCCCAGGTTGTGGGTTCAATCCCCGGTTTGGGGCTTGCAGGAGGCAACTGATCAATGATTCTCTCTCATCATTGATGTTTCTATCTCTCTCCCCCCCACCCTTCCTCTCTGAAGTCAATAAAAACATTAAAAATAATAATAAAGGCCATATATGATAAACCCTCAGCTAATATCATACTCAATGGTGAAAAACTGGATGCTTTTCCTCTAAGATCAGGAACGAGACAAGAATGTCTACTCTCACCACTCTTATTCAACATAATGCTGGAAGTCCTAGTCAGAGCAATAAGGCAAGAGAAAGAAATAAAGGCATCTAAGTAGGAAAAGAAGTCAAACTGTCACTTTTTGCAGATGACATAATTCTGTATATAAAAAACCCAAAAGACTCCACTAAAAAAACTATTAGGAACAAATATAGTCAAGTTGCACAATACAAAATCAATGTGCAAAAATGCATTGCCTTCCTGTATAATAACGATAAAACTTCAGAAAAAGGCCCTAGCTGGTTTGCTCAGTGGCTAGAGCGTTGGCCTGCACACTGAAGGGTCCCAGGTTCGATTCCGGTCAGGGGCACAAGCCTGGGTTACGAGCTCGATCCCCAGTGGGGAGCATGCAGGAGGCAGCCAATCAGTGATTCTTTCTCATCATTGATGTTTCTATCTCTCTCTCCCTCTCCCTTCCTCTTTGAAATCAATCAAAATATATTTTTTTAAAAAATTTTTTTTTC